TTGATGTAACAATACAAATATGTGTTTGACTATAGCTACAAAGATTAAACTGTGTATCCTTAAGGATAGTAATCAACAACACGTTTGCTGTTTAAATCATTTCAGTGATGTTGAACTTTCTTTAAGATGTGTTTTCCAAAATAAAATGTTGGTACAAAGAAAAGCAATTATAGTTATCATAAAGAAGAAACTGATTTAAAAAAGTCTAAGCTCCAGTAATAGTTAAATTAACAGAGATTTGCTGCAAAAGTGTATCTTATGAACTCATCCCACTTTTTGTCTTAAGACAATGTCTGTGGCTACAAATAGCGTATTATTCCCTGCATGGATTAATTAGAGGTGTCCTAATAGCCTGGTTGTATTAACAGCAGACTGCCAGATTATGAACTTTTAACTATAAGTTGATATAAAATGAAAATGTCCACAAGTAAAAATAGCACTTAATATCTGTTAATCACAATACTTTTTCTATAAAGTGACCCACATATTTTTCATGAAATAGACTAATATTAGTTTATTTTGCACAATTGTCTCTTTGTAACAAGACAATGTAACATTTATATTTAATTGAGAAACATTCAAATTCTTAGTGCAATTTGAAGTAACCTTGCATCTAACGAAGATTTTCATCAAGTTCTGAACTACACTCTTATTAAAAAATATTCAAGACATTCATGATACTGTTTTATGTTTCCTTATGTACAGTTCTATGGTAGTAGTTCAATTGTATTACATAAGAAACACTGCTTGAAATGTTCAGTACGAGTGTAAATCCAAATTCTAAAACATTTTTATTTCTCTTAAAATCAAATTACAAACAAGTGACAGGACCATCAAAGCTTACAAAAAAAAAGACAAATTGTATAAATTGGTTCTTTTTGTATTCATTAATCATAATTATGTTAGTACTACTTGACCATAACTGTTTGAATTACATTTTTTTAATTATAAAACTTTAAGCATTTTCAATATGTATTTTTCAGCTTCAATTCTGAAGTGAGATATTTTGCAACATTAACTTGACTATAACTTTTACTATAAAAGTCTTTGCATGATCCAGCACAATGTAAGGTAACATTATAACTCATCTAAAGCTATGTGGATAAATATGCTCATAACTGCAAATTACACTGAAGGTGCTTTAGCTGAATCAAACAGCATTTGTATTAGAACATAAATTTCAAAACAATTGAACACATTTCCAGTGAAAAAGTGTTATGATATACACATATAATGAAAGAAAACTTGAAAACCCAACCCAGGTCCAGTTGGGCATATATACATAATCAAAAATCATTCATAGTATTGCCATTTTTATGTGGATGGTATTAAACACTTTTTCTAAGTGTATTAGCAAATGAAAAAACAATGTAAACATATGCGAGACTGTTAAAAAAGTTCTCTGTAATACAATCACCATGAAATTGTAACTATTTACATGTGAATGTGGTAAAATACGAATAGCATTAAGTTCAAGAAATGAGACTGCCTCTTTTGTAAGGCTTTATAGTGTTAACTTGTCTATGAACTCTTGACAGCTCAAGAATACATAATAAACAAAGTGATGAGTATCATGATAAACACAAATGGTAAAAAAGTAAGATTTACTCTAAAATACCTTTTATGTTGTATATTTACATATTTGTTTGCACATTAGAGTTCAAAAACCTAGAAATAAAATACTGTCCATAAAGTAGTTAATCATTTTAACCAATTATTACAAAAGTTAACATTTTCCTATATTGAAAATGTATTTCCAATAATACTTACCTCCGCTGACACTTTAGCTATACCTCGATGTTGGCTTTGCCTATCTAAGCATTGGTCTCACATGCTCTTTTATATCCCACTTAAATGCCCTTGGCAATATCCAATTTGCAAATCCCTCAATCAGTGTCAATGCACCCTCTATCCTGACACAATATATCCACTTTTGAGACTCACACGATCCCAGTCACTAATACCAGCTCTTAATGGAGAGGAAAAGTGGGAGAGTATCAGCAGAGATAAGTATTATTGGAAATACATTTTCAATATAGGAAAATGTTAACTTCCAAAACATACTTGCCCTCTGCTGCCACTTTAGTTAGAATCCCACAATGAGAAGGTTGAGGGGCCAGTGAGGGCATTGTCCATACAGAAAGCATCTGTATAGAACAGGTGTGTACCAAGATAACAGTGTTACCCATGTGGGGAAACTTTACTACATCCAGAACAGGTATGCTCTTTACCCAGAACTTAATATTGATATCAAGGGTGAAATAGTGCATTAGTAATTATTACAGGCCAGCCCCAACCAGATAACCGAGGTTCCACAACTTGGGGTTAGAATTAAAAGGTCTTGGTCCCCATATCCCACAATGGTAGTTAAGGCAATTGGACAGCAATGTTATATATAGATATACTCTTGATTGGATCCCAAACTGTACCTGTGGAGTGATACATTCCGAACTACCAGAATTACAATGAGAAAGGAAGCAATACTGAAGTGGACAAACTTTCTCTTCCACATGAAGAAGTCCGAAAGGCACCACTCCAGTATCAAAATGACGGGATCATGTATACCTTACTCAACCAAAGGAACAGAACTCATCCGGTCTGGAATTATGAACATTCATCCTCACTCTCCTAACAAGTGGGCAAGGAGCATTCCACTTGCCCTCAGAATTATGGAGAGTCTGTGGAACACTGTGTTCAACCAAGAACCAAGGATGGGACCACTTCGTATTCGGAATTATGAGGAGATAGTGGAACTCCATTCATGAACAATATACAACTTTACATTGTTCACAATAAGGGCCAAGCATACCCTAACCTGATAGAGTAGGATCAAATCTGAACCAGTATTACGAGTAGGTTCCCGCAGAGGCTGGTGTCACTCCTACTGATATCTGGGAAATACATCCAGGGACCTGAGTAGGAGGGCCCCCAGCTTTGCCCTCTTCTCCAAGAGTGGAGGAATTCACTCTAACACTCTGGAGGAAAAGCCTCTGTCCATCACCCCAGTGACTGGAAACTGGGTGTGGTAAGGACTTCCTATCTCCACTAGTAAAATCTGTGTGTGTGTGGGTAATGCACATTGGGGAGTCCTGAGGAACAGTGCAATAGGTGAACCAAGTTCCCTAAATTTTTAAAAGCAAACCGACTCTGATTTATTCAATCGGATGATTGGTAGGGATAGGCAGAATCCCCATGATAATATGTTAATACTATCTGGTAAGTGCTACGACGGTCTTATGGAACACCTCATTTCTACAGAGCCTGTTGCAACCACTAGTAAGTATAGTCAATTGGTTGCTAGTGTGGAAATGGATTGATAAAAGCACACCAGTCTGGGCAACACTCAACACAGAGTGGGATCCTGTGAAAGAAAAATGTAAGGGACCCTTGAAAAGAAAAACAAAATATGAATACTCCCTCCTCCATATAATCTATCAGATGTTGTTAAAATTGACAGGGGGGGTAGTGGAAAACCCCTAGAAGAAAACTGCTACATCATATAAAGAATGCGAGAGAAAAGCATAGGGAGAAGTCCACCTACAGGCCTATAAAATGTCCCCCAGTGAATAACAGAAATGGGCAGTGAAAGACATAAATGTGCTGAATCTGATGATATGTAACTCTGAGCAGACTCCTCACCTGTAAATTCTAGAATATGCAAAATGGATATTGGCAAATCCATCTGCAAGGAAGTGCAGATAAATCTTGGGAAACTGAAGGATCCCAAAGAATACAAAGGCAAGAACTATCACCACAAAAGTAGTTCGAGTGAGCCGTATAACATCTGTGAGCCTGACAGGATAAAAACAAATGATCAGTGTATGATCGAATGTAGAGATGAGAAATAGTTGGTAAAACAATTGTGGAAAAGGATGTATCTCCTTTTCTGGCTGCTAAAGGCTTAGAAAGAAAGGACCTAAGGGGAAAGATAAAGTCCTACAAACATGCCAACAACTCCAACCAATGACAGCAGCAACAAAATACCTATTAACTCTTTCCGCCCTGGCTCATAACCATTTTGTGCTTGTTATAGTTTTCATGCTATATCTTTTAAATTAGTAAGTGAATGTTGACGAAATTTGGCAGGTTATCAGTAATCATTACAATGCTTTCATATGCAAGATATCTAATTTTTTTTATTAAGTCTTAATGTTTCTCTCATGCCTTTTTTTTATTTTCACATCTTGCCTATCTATCATGCAAACTAATTTTCAATTTAAAATTAAAAATACTTTAATGCATCAGAAAATTTTGAAATTTCACATGCAAAATCTTTATAATGTCCAGATAGTTATGAAACATTTCTTAAGAAAAAGCTTTAAATTTTATCTGTTATTTTCAGTAATTAATCTGTACGGGTTGGTAGATTTGACCGATTGTGTAACCACCATAAAAAATTAGGAAATAAACATAAATTATGCCTCTTTCATTCTAGAATTAACACAAATTATAACACAAAAACATAAATGTTTATATGAAATTGCTTAAATCTCATAACATTATACATTTTTATATATATATATATATATTTTTATTATTTTTATAATATTGATCTTTCACCCATGCCTGGCTAACAATACAGAAGTTAGAAAGACGTTGCTCACATGCATTCATGTTACCATATCAAATAACATAAAGGTGACCTTTGGTCTGTACAAAGTAACTTGTCTTGGCTGTGTTTTAGTCGACTAGCATTTTGTAAAATACATTCACATTTCAATTACTAAACATTTTATATGTATATAGATTATTGCTATTTTGAAATAAGTTCTTAAAGTTATTTTTCCTAAAACATAAAACAGTAAATAAACAAGTAAAGCAAACAATTATCTCTTCTAGTTACGATCTTTGTACTCAATTGCTGCTCGACGTAGGTTGCTAAGCCTTTAAAAATTTTGCACGTGGAGGATATGAAACAAAATAATTTTTTTTAGGTTTTATATATACATTTGAATAACTAAAAAATCACAAGTTACTACATCAGTACCATAAAATTCAACTATAATTTATCAAGCTTAGCAACTAAGCTTTATTTGGGTCTAAAAAAAATATGAAATTTCGAGCAGACTAAAGACTATCTCATTAAAATCTTCATTCAAAAGAAAGAATTGAAAGGCTGAGAAAACAGGAGACGAAGCTAAACTCAAGTAAAAAACAGATCAAAACAATATATATTTAACACATTTGGTAAAGTGGGTACAACTCCTTGTTAGGCACTGTAGATGTTAAACCCCAATGAGCTGCAAAAAGTCTTGGTGTAGAACGTTGGGTTGAGGATACCTCAATAAAGATAGCAAAAGAGAAAGATGCAGAGGTGGATTCAATGAAGAAACTGTAGAAGAGGAAATCATGGTTAGGCTGGCCAATCTAAGCTAGCAACATCTTGCAAGTAGAAGATCGAAATATAGCCAGAACTCTGAGTAACAGAGGAAGTGAGGGAAAGTCATAGATGTGCAATCCCATCCAAGCAGGACTGACTGCATTTACCACCCAAGCCTGAGGCAGTGGTGACCCCCAACTGATCCTAGTTGAGAATGAACAAGTGGCAAAAGCTGGGTGTCCAAAGTGAGAACAAATCTATTGGAAAACCTCACAATGGAGAATCCATTTGTTCAGGAGAAAGTGAAGACTGAGACTGACAATGTGCAAGAAATCCATCACTCCAGGAAAATGGCAAGCCAGAAGGCTGATATGATTGGAACAGGCCCCATAGAGAAAGAACCAAATTTAAGAGACCACTGAGGATATTCCACAGCAATAGATTGAGACCTTGCACTATTGCTTGTTGGACAGCAAGAAGTTCTGATTTATTGATGCAGAATGAAGATTTGCCCTCCATTCATATACCCTGGAATTCCTGACCTTGAAGATACACACCTCATCTCCAAAGTACCTGTGAAGAGAAACCATGGACAGAGAGGGGCAGTATATATATATGCACACACATACACATATATATTTATATATACATGCTAATGATAGAAGTGATCCAAACCAACTATTACTCAAAAACTAAGATGTTGCTGCTGATGAAAAAGACTAGAAAATCCAGTGGATTGAAGTTCCATATCAATTAGTTGCAATGGGACCACTCAAGGGATAGCATGTGTCCTCATCCCAAAAAATTCAAGTAATTTAAGGGATGCCCATAACCACATTCCATATCCTGGAGCTAGATGGGAGGTAGATTAGCTGGGCAAAAAACATGGTGAAAACTTGTACAACCCAGCAGAAGACATATGGTACTGTTGCTAGACCAAAGGCTAGATCCTTGAACTGCAGGACATGATACCTGTATACAAAACGTAGCTAAAGGCAAGATGAATTCACAATGGGAATGTGGAGAAATGCCTCAACAACCTCAAACTCTGGTGAAGAATGCCAATGTAGGGTGAGAAAGGACTCCATTGTGGACCGGGAAGAAACAAGAAATGGGTTGAGACGAGAAAAACAATGCTCATCCGCAAATTTCCCCTTGTCTCAGGCACAACAAATAAACAGGAATAAAATCCCAGAAACTCAGGATCAACTGTCACTACCACCCCCATGATCAGTAACTCTGATAGTCGTGAAACGAAAATAGACAGCCCATATTGAGATGCTAGATAACAAAAGATGAATAGGGGAGGTCAGATTAACTGCTGTGCTGACAATGGTAATAAAGGAATTCATACCCGTAAACATCACGTGCAAAATGTGATGTGAAAATCTCAGTCCATAACGGAATGAACCACAGCACTTCATCATAAAAAACTGTGACCAACGTTCTGTCATGAAAAAGTGATTAGATTATCTGAGTGAGGTTCTTATATAAAGTGTCAGGAAAGAGGGCACATTGACTCAGGTGGAGAGATTTCCAAATTAGATATTGCCAAGGGCATTTAAGTGAAGTATAAAAGATTGGAGCATGTGAGACCAATGCTTAGATAGGCAAATCCAACATTGAGTGTTAGCAGAGAGTAAGTATGTTTTGGAACTTTGTATTTCTTTTCTTATTAAAAAAATTGTAAAATGAGAGTTATGTTTGCTGTAATAATACTATTATTCTTGAAGCTTGCAGGGAGTAACAAGCAAACAAAACAAGCCTACTGTGTTCTAGATGAATGAAGTTGCTCTACTGAGTATAATCAATAAAGATAACACTTGTCCTGAAAATAATAACAATATTCTTAGTTTATGTAGGTAGAAAGAAAATTTATGGCAGTTTAACGGTCTTCAGTAGTCTTATCTTACTGAATTTTGTGTTTATAAATAGTTTTTAATAGATCAGGAATTGTTTATCATTATAAGTATTCTGCTTATAATGGGTAAACTCTCCATTTCTGGCAAATCATCAACAGATTTTTGGTATGCAACACTCTTTACATGCCATCTTAAATCATTTCTAGTATCAAATAGGTTTTTATTTTCAATTCATAACTGCAATCACATTCTTAAGTCATTTGCATGACTAGTGGTAATTAGTTTCTTTTTGTCAGCTTCATTTCTTTCCAGCAAGGATACAGCATCTTTCACAGTGTGATAGATGATATTCTTTATCTGCAACAAAATGACAATGGTTAGTTTTAGTGTGTTGTACAATAGCCTTGTTTTTTAATAAACTATATAAAAAATTCACAGCTGTGCTAGTTTGTGAACATAGTTTCTAATAGAGAGTACATTTATCATTGGACTTAGTTAAGATCATAAACTAATCTGAATAAACAACTGTTCCACATTAACCAAGTTCATCTTTCAACACACTTGGCTGTATTCCTAACTTTATATTTACATGCTCATTCATAATCCAATAGTACTTTGGCGGACTTAAGATAAAATTCATAAAAAAAAAAAACATGACCATTGGAAACACAGCAAATGCATGCAATTCTACAATCAAAGTTTGAAGTATACTGTAAATGAGGGTGAATAAATTGTGAGAATTTCTTTTTAGTTTTCTTTCTCCACAGTATTTGTTTAACAGTACATTCTATTACAACATACAGCTGTATAAGGAATTGTTTTGGGAAACCTATTTTAGCTGTTTAATTAACTCTTTCCAGACTGCAGAGGTGCAAAAAACATTAAACTTAATTGCATGAACTTACTAAATCGTTTTTTGTTTTTAAAGCATGGCTACACAGTGAACTATCTGCATTCTGTCTAACATGGGGAATCAAAGTGTAGATTTATCACTCATCCACAGGGGAAATCTAATAAATATTGTAGTATCTAGTTTCAGCTTAAAAAGAAACATTTACATTTTGATTTGGTAATTCTATCAATTTTTAGGTTTTGAAATTTCAAAAATTTTGTTGCAAAACATCATTTTGAAAAAGAAGAAACATTAAAAATACTTCCTTTCTTCAAGCTAAGTAGTTATGAAGCAAAAACCATGAGACATATCTACGATTGGCCCTATGGAACACCCCATCTTAACGGTGTGCACAATATGATCCTGTGACATGTTATATTGTTTCAAGTATAATACGTGATATTGATGTATAGAGGACAATTGGATAGAGTCAACCATCAGAGCCACAGTAGGAAGCACCTCAACACTATAGTCATCTAGCATGGTCACAGGTCATTTAATGTGGATTTGATACTAAGTATATCTGGTCAGGCACCACTTGCCACAGAGTGTGATCCAAAACACATGTAGCAACAGGCCCCTGCAAAGAAAAGAAAAACAAATACCCATCCTGATGATGTCTTCTCATTGAAGACGGAAAAAAAGCTGCCAGGGACACGGGAAAAAACATGAAAAAGGCAAAAAACATCCACAGAAAAAGAATAATATGCCACGCAAATCCAACATTAAAGGGGAGTTGGAGAAAAAAGAATCACAGGAAAGGGTAGGATGCTAATGATGAAATAAACTGACCCGGGAAGAACTAAAGAACACAATGCATGTGTTAGGAAACCAAAGGCCCTGGCCAGGCAAAAGAATCGGACAGGAGAGGAATGGATCTAAAGGTGGGAGAAGAAGGGAATGGAGAGAGGAGTGAAAACATAATTAATCTCCAGATTAGCTGAAATCAAGTGCATAAAGGAAAGGACAGGAACTAAGTAACAAACATAGCAAAATCTGATCACAAAACAGTGACCACAGGCCAACAATATGAGGAACACACACAGCAAGTAAAAGAAAATAATGAATCTGCTAACACAAATTAAAATGGAGGATTATAAAAAGCATGAAGGACCATGGAGGTTCCAAATCCTGGAGAGAAGCTGAGCAGGAAATACAAGCAATGGAGAATGAACAAAATAACATAGCCAGGAAATGAGAATGTAACACAGAAGCAAAACTAGTAAACCAAAAAGAAAAGACAAAAAACCAATCAAAATCCTGCAACATTGGAGATGGATAAGTCTCTGTTAGAAGGCTAAGTATAAAAAGGGCAGCAGGAGGAATGGGAGTAATGAAGGATGATAACCTAGGTGTACAGATCAACAGTGTGATGTGTATCAACAACTCAGGGAAATGTCAAAGGACAAACTGGATGGGAAAACCAAGGAAGTAGCATGCTTGGATAGACCTGACCTTCTGGCTAGGAAGAAGATAAAAGCCACAGGTGAAGATGGAATGGATGAATGTTTAATGCTGGAGTGTGGCAAATGAAGGGGAGGCGACACCAAAAATCATTGCAAAAATAGAAACCATGCGAGGGTCGTCCAAGATGGTGCCACCAGCTGAACTCAACATGGAGAGTTCTGAACTATTGAGAGGACATGAGGAAAAAGATGAATAGGTATACAAATATAAGGGGAACGACTTTTCCAATTCTGACAGAGAGCATTCCTGCACATGCCAAGGAATAAGGAACAGGAGACCCAAAACACGTAAGATGTGTATTGAGATGACATGCAAAAACTTCCAAATTAGGAACACCCCAAAGTGCTCACTACACTCGAAAAACAAGAGGATCCAAAGACTAACTTGTCGGGAAAATCCTGTTGGGATGGAATAACCAATCCATGGCCAGATTCATAGCTTCCTGCCGATAACATATCCACAAATTGATATAATGACAGTGGGCCCAAAATACAGGAGATCCAAAGAACACTCAGCCAGATGCCCCCCATGCATAGTGATGTAGGACCATACAATAGAACTCTTGGAGTGAAACATCCCCACCTTGTCCCAAAGAGCCAGTATGAAAGAAAAATCCTGTCCGAAGAACAGCAAGAAGTGTTAATAGAGTAATATGGACAGCAGAGTCAAAAACAGTTTCTCACCCCTCAGTTTCACAAGTGTCAAAAAATGCTCCCCAAATGGAAAAAGAAGCATCCATAAAAACTGACAATCCAGATGAGGAGAAGGAAGAGAAACCCCAGCAGCAATAGTGGTCCTATCCAACCAACAGTCAATACAGACTGTTAGGGAGGAGAAACAGTAAGAAAATCATCCAAGGGATCCCAAATAAGACATCATACGGTGATCCAAAAAACCCACAGAGGATGGTGCACACTAGAGTGACCCAGAGGAACAAGGCTGTGAGAAAAGCCCATGTCCTCTAACGAGAGGGAACTTCGCTTGCAATAAGGAAAAAGAGAAGATGAGAAGCTGCCTAAAGGACATACCAGAGCCCTAAACTGAAGGGGAGAAGGTTGGTCCCAACCAAGAATTGAGAATCGAGATGAAAAACACTTCCAGAAACTAGAAATTTATCAGGTGTGATGAACGAAATTTCCACCATGAAGACCCAACCCAACACGCAGCTTCCCAAAGAAGAAGTAAGTAGATAAGGCCAGTAAGGAGTCTATAAGCATCTATCCATCCTAGGAAAAGTGTACACTAAGCTCACGAAAGGAAGCAGATGAGCAAAGGTCTAGACTACTTGGCTGAACACAGACAGAGCCGAGGTAAGGTTGAACAAAAACACCCTAAACTGAAAATACTTGCACCTGTGAAGAAGAAAATGAAGAAAAATATCTGGATGCCGGAGAAAATGAAATATGGAGACATGTATCCAACACATCAACCTACGTTATTCATAAAACAGGAGTGAAAACCCCTGACAAGAATGATCTCCTCATAGAAGGGACCCTGATGAAGTAGGCCCCAAGTCACCTCTGACTAATTCTGGGATGAAATGGGATCTCCAACACCTTGTGATAGAAAAAAAAGTGCCATGCATAATGCACATAATGAAGAGGAGGGTAAAAGAACCCTAATGATAACAGGATCCCGACCTAGAAAAAAAAACAACAACTTCATAACAGCCACGTCTGTAAAGTGAAGCTGAAAAGAAAATGCATGTAATTGTAGCAAAAAGGAGACAACTATGACCAACAGAAAAACAAATAATCAAACTACAGAACCACCCCAACCAAAGGACAAAGATAGGATAAAGCACAGACAATAATGGATAATGTAATAAATGAACTGGAAAGCGAAGCATCAGGGTCTGAACCTCACATCTGCAAAAAAAAATCAAAAGATGTGAGGTGAATTATGGGTAGGGGAAATGAGAAAAGCAAAAACATGCTAGGCCAACATAAATGGGGGGTAAAGCATACTGATATCCTGAATGCACATTTAGGAGGGTGAAAACAAACTGACATAAGTTACAACCGCCCATTCAGACACACCTAGGCATTGAGAAGACAGGCTACTCAACAGGTTTTTTACAGAATATTGCCAAAAATTCTACAATTTCCAACGGAACATAGCCAACAATAGTGTTAATACCCCTGCAAACAGAAAATCCGCTGCAGCAGCAACAGCAGTGGTAGTCGTGACCACCCAAAAATGTTAGTACATAACTCACAAAGTCAAAAACAGAAGAGGGAGAGTAGATAATGAAATTTAACTTGCAACTCTCCACTATATATATATATATATATATATATATATATAAAGGGGAAGAACAGCAGTGGCAAAATTAGGAAGTAAAAAATGTGGATATAACAACTAAATCGCAAGTGAAAACAAACATGTCTGTATAGTGAGACTGCCAATTGAAAAGCGATTAACAAGTGAATTATTAGAAAGGGCGCTAGTTATGATAGGGGCAGTGTCGCATTCCTATTAGGGGAAGGTTGCTGTATGATCATTTGCATGTAGATATGCAGAAAGAAGCTAGTGCCAAGCAAAAAACATTTGCACCAATAGAGGATACTACTAATCAAGAAAGCTTTTTGGGGTGGAGGTAAAATATTGTATTGGAAGATTCCAGAATCTCACATAAAATTGTAAGATAACACAATTCGTACAGGCAGGTATAAAATGTAGATAAAAAAATCAGAACAATTATGCCTAAATCATAAGAGTTGGCAGATCTGCTGTTAATCAAGCCAGGTCAGCTATAACTATATTAATCCAAATGTCGTTACATGTTCTCAACAGTTAGCATAAAACAGAAGTTCAATGTTGAAATTGATCACATTAAGTCTGTTTCACATGATGTTAAATAATATTGTTGAACTGTAATTCATTATCACAATCTAACAATATCTACAAGGAACATTTCACTGTAATAGTTGATGAATACTGTACATTTAAAGATCTTTCCTAAGATCAGTTTTTAAAATAAACTACAAAGAATGAAATTGAACTGCTTGATTAGCATTTTTGTATTATTTAGAAGAATGAATTATTTTAGTCTATAAGAATACAAATATTTTTATATTTTTGCACAATAGTTATGTCAGTAAAAACAAAATGTATTTGAGGAATTTGAATTCAGATTTACTCAAAAAAAAACTACAAACTAGCGCCAAGAACAGGTTGTAAACAAATAAAAAAGAAGAAAAACAAATTGTACTAATTTTTTGATATTTTGGATACAATACACTAGAAGCAAAGCAGTTAGATGGTTACATTTCATAATGACTTACGAATCCTCCATGATTAACATAGTAAATTATTTGCCTTTGTTTTAACAAAACAATATAGTGGCAAATGTTTATCCTGGATTGTGATACATACTGTAAAATTGGACATATATGTCCTGGAATTCATGATGTATAGTTACTCACCTTCTAGTAAGTTATTAAGTGTCTAAAGTTTTAAATCTCTCATAAATACTACAAATTTTACCTGAAGTTTATCTTCATGATTTGTATGAGTATCTGTCAAATCTCTGAATTCCTGTGTAAGAGTGAAACAGTAAGCAATATTTTCAGGAGAGACAAAGTCTTCAGCAACCTTAATACAACTATGAAGGTTTCGAACCTAAAAGGATGTATATAACATATCAGTTTAGCTGGAATTAGCTCAAAGAACTGTTACTAATTTCAAATGAAAGAAATAAGGAAATATAAAGTTAATTTACATATTTATAGAAAATAAAATTATATAATAAGGTTGCATAACAAAAAAATGTCTTGTTATAAATTTTAACTAATATTAGCATGAAAAATCTTTACGGGAGTTTAAAACAAATCAAATTTTATAAAAGACAATTATTTAAAGAATAATGCACAGATAATTCTGACATTAGGTTTTCACCATATAGCTAAGTTGGTAAGTAACTTGTTAACTCTCTCAACATGGGCTCAACCGATTTGACCGATCATGTGACCTCTTTGTACTCATGCAAAGTCTTTATAGATTTGATACTATTAACTTTTATAATACTATGTATATCTTCACAAAATTTGGCAGCCATTCAGTAAATTTTATAAGTCTTTCAAAAATTCATATTATTTAGTTAAGTATTTTTAATGAACTAAAAAAAAGGAGATTTAACTGTGACTATATTGAGTATTTGTTTTAAATAGTCCGTGTCTGTGGTTTTCATGTTATGATTAAAAATACTTTTCTTCATCTCAAAAATCTCAAATTTTATTTATGTAATCCCTAAAACCTCCTAAGTACATTCCAAATGTTTGTTTTCAGTAAAGCTTTATATTTTATCTGTTATTTTCTCTACCATAACTCTATACAATGTTGGTTAATTTCACCAACCTCGTAACCACCAAAAAAAATCTAAATAAATCTAAATTACCCTTTTTTCTTTCTAAAATGACTTCAGATTGTAACATGAAACTACATTCATTTATCCTAAGTATCTTTAAACTCGTAACAGTATACATCTTTTTATATTTACATTTTATTGTTTTATTGCTCTTTGAACCATCTAACTACTAATCGTGCCATTATAAGTTGTAAAACCACTTGAGAAATGTGGAGCTCATGTTACACTATCAAATTATGTTAGCCACAAACTGCCTGCGCGTGTCTCGTAAAACATTTTTTATTATATTATTAATTTTACCTAATCTAACATTAACTAACCTAAAGAGATCCTTATTTTCACATTTTAGTTACTTTTATAATAATAAATAAAGAATACACATGAAAAACAAGACAAAGTACTTACCTGAGTTTTTTTTGCTGTCGACTTTCATTGACACTTAACCTTACTTTTTTTTTTTTAATACTAATGTAATACAATATAAAACAATGTAATACAATATATCATTTGATAGGTTTTCTATTGGTTATACATAATATAGAATTAAATGTATGAGAGAACTATTAACAAATCCTGAAAGAGAAGATGTGACAGGTGGATGTGGCAAGAAGGGTCTTATTTTCTATTTGATGGCTCTGTAACCAAAAAAAATTGAAAGCTATAAAAAATTATGGTTTGTCTGAGCAATGAAGATTTTATAGTAGGTAATTTATGTTAAATTTCATACTTAATGGAGGGGGTGGTGAATAAAATAGAGAAGAGAGGATGCCTAGAGAATATATGTCACATTTCTCACACTTGTGGAAAATCAAGAACTTAAAACTTGTATACTATTAAAATATGGATTATTAGCTACGATTTTATGCTATACTAATTGGTATAACATAAATAAAAAGTAGTTTCATAAAATGTTTAATGTAAGTCACTAAAACCTTGTAAATGATGCCTAGGCAGAGAGGGTTAATGGACATCTAAATAGAAATTATTTTATGTAATTTTTCCTTCAATATACTTTATAACAGACAACATTTAAAAATAATATGAAATACTTTTAAGTGTAGATTTCATTCCAATATATATATACAATTTGTTATATATACACAACTGTTTCATTTAAATAGTTATAAGGCACGAGTGTGAAATTTAGTATTTTGAGAAGTGATAATTTACTACAGGTTTGCTTACGTAACTGTTTACGATTCATTTGTTGTGTAGTTAAACTGTTGTGAATTGATGTGACGTTATTCAAACCTTCGAGGTTTTTCTCATTGTTTCATTGAGTATTGTTACATCATAACGTCTCATAATTTGTAAAAAGTTCTAGGCCTCAGTTGGGCAATATATACATATATATAGGTGACCAAGTTAAGGAAATAAGTTAGTGAAAGTGAAATTAGACTGCTTGTATTGTAATAACAGAGATAGAGAAGAACAATTTTCTAGTCAAAGAATGCTCTAAAGTGATTGAACCCACCTGCATGGACTGTAATGAAAAGGAGACAATTATTTAAAGTTCTGGATACAACTGTGATAACCAACAGTTCTATTGGCGATTTTAAAATGAGTATCACAGTCTTGTATTGTAATAACAGATTAGAGGAAAACAGATTGTCTTGTCAAAGGGTGTTCTAAAGTAACTGAACCCGCCTATGTGGACTTTGATAAAAAAAGAGAATTATTTAAAACTCTGATTACACCTATGACAACCATTAGTGTAACGAAGTTTTGTACATAAGTTTGACTTGCTTTGAATATATTATTTTAAAACAAGTGGATTGTGTGCTGTCCATTTATTATTGAAGTTCATTGTCAACAAGTCACAGACACCTACTGTAAAAAACCTTACCCATACATACATAAAAATCTGATACAATTAAAGTTAATTAAAATATTCAAAATCTAATAAAACCTTAGACTTAAACTATTAGCAACTTAACATACATAAAACATAACTTTATGCCAAACTGCTGATCAATAAAAACTATTTCTAGATGTAAAGTGTATTACCTGATGTGGAGCTCCTGCAGGAATGAAAACAGAATCCCCAAGACACTGGACAATGGCATAACCTTCAACACTGTATTCCTTATACAGTCTGTTCCGCAGATCTTTATCTAGATACCAACTCTGATCATGGATAGGATCATGGTGTGCTTCAGGCTTTTCACCCTGCTCTAAGGCCACCTAAAAAATTAAGCTTATCATACTTCAGATTGTAATTGTTAATTTACACTTATATAAAGTCCAAGTGCATGAACAGAAAAAAAATAATGCTCAGGAAACTAACAAAAAAAGGACTCAATAACTAGATCCAGATCGAACTGAGAAAAAAACAACAAAAAAACACACACACACACAGAAGGAAAAAGGCATGAATGACTTCCTTTCTGCTGAAAATTGTGGACTTACTTTATTTAGAAGATCTCTAATTTTATCAGCATCTTTTGCATTATAGATGTGCCACAAAGCTCCTGGTTTCATTCCTTTCTCCCTAACTCTTTTCTGGGTTAATACATCACACCCACCTTCTTCAATAGCTTTAAGTGCCTCTGTTGAATAAAAACAGGGATTAATTATACACAATGTACAGTTAATATTAAACATTAGCTTTTAAAGTTAATAAATAATTAACACAAAAATGACTAAACAAAACTATTAGCTACGAAACAACTTACACTTACAGCTATTGACTATTTTATAATTATACAAACACTAGAGAACAGAGCTTAAGCAATAAGTTAATACCTAAGCTACTACAATTTATTTTAAAACTACTGCCACTTCAAACAAAAACTATTGAACCAGACTGAAATTTCTCAGTAAGCAATTTTATAACTCATGTAAAAGAGAATTAGAAATACATAGAAAACAGAGATGTCTGAGAGGTAATTTCTTTGAAAAATTAGTAGTAAATGATATTTTGATGCACCAGTGTGAATTTGCATCTGGAAATGATCTATTAAAAATTACAAAACATTTATCGAAAATAGCTTCCTACAATTCACTGGCAATTTAACATTTCAACATCTATAATTTGAAGTTATAACACATATAAAACTATTACACCAATCTCCACAAGATTTTAATATTTTCATTAAAAGAATTCACTAACATAAACAATGTTGTAAGTCCAGTGTAAGCACACCAGAAAATGAACAAAATTTAAAGAGCTATGATTTTATAATCAAATTTTCTCGAATGAAATGAATAAAAGAACAGAAATTAAATTATATTTTAGGAGCACCATATGTTCACTGAATACAGTTAATCTCAATCAGTTTCAATTACAATATACCACTAGCTACAACCTGTGAAACCTGTATTCTCAACTTCCACTGGTTTTACTTAATGTCTAACAGAATCAATATGTCAAAAAGTCATATTCAGGCTTTGTTACAGTCTCTGCATATACGTGACATATTTTTGATCAATCAGCAGACAAAATTCCTCATGTTGTTTATGACTAGGAGTTCTTACTGGTTTGACCCAATATTGCATTTTGTTCAAAATCCAGGCCTCATCCTGCAAAGAAATAAAGTCTGATCCAATTGCATCCATTAAAATGTTGTACAACTACATCAATACCACAGTAATATATATTTTAGCACCAAGTCTGTTTCTCAGAAGCACAGTAAGATCTGTGAGTCCATTCATGCTGATGTCTTCTCACACCATAACTGAACAACCAAATATAATCTCATTGAATAATGCTGCATTGAGCATTTCATTCACCTTTGGGTTTCCATATGAGAATCCTTCATCATTAAATCATCATAAAATCTTGACTCATCTGTGAAAAGTGCAAGCACTCACCAATGATACTAGTGTCAATTCAAATTATCTTGACATAAGTACAAATGAGCTATATGGTATTCTTTGATAGATTACGGAAGACTTTCGAAAAGTCATCCTTTACACTTGTGTCTCTACAACAGGCAGTTGCCGTCCATGCTACAAAGTTTCATCATGAGCTATATGGTGCTGCACAGTCAATTGCAGAGTTGAAATTTGTCATTTTTGCCTCAAGCTAGATGCTTCACTATACCTGTTGGTCATTGATAAACTTTACAGTTGATGTCTAAGTCCAAAGTGAATCCATGGGAAGTGGAATGGTGATTCCTAATGCCATGTTAAGTTGATAGTAATTATTATATTGCATAATTGACTTTCCACAAGCTGGATCAGTGTATAAGCTATTAACCCTTTTTAGAGATGTCACGAGTGAAAGGCCATGTCATCTCGTTTGTTGACTCGCATTCAAAATTTCATTGAACTACTATTTCATGAATTTAAGTCAATAACTTGGTATCAAACTGTAGATTATAATTCAAATATTCGTACTATACATTACTCAATTTTTTAATTTAAAAGTAAATTAAAAAACAACAGATAAATATAAATTTTTGTGTGTCACTTGGTACGTAGAATGCAGCACTAGTTCAAATTAGAAGTCTGTAGTTTCGTACAAATTAGAAACTCAAATTACTGATACTGACAAGCTAGAATATAAAATAAGAACATCTTATCTTTTCTATCTGCTAAGATATTGCTCATGTAATAAATGAAACAGTGGCACCCCGCTCACCTCTTTCCATTTTTGGAAACACTCCCTTATATACATTTACTTCTATATATGACATGAATAACCAATCAGAAGCTCAATATGTCCCCCTAGTGACTTTCTCAAACACTTTAACGGTCTTGAATGGCTTTCTTTCTTTTAAACTAATATTTCAAGGAGGTAAGGTGTGTCTTTAGTCTGCTCGAAATTTCATATTTGTTTAGACTAAAATACATATTAGTTACTAAACTTGATAAATTATAGTGGAATCCTATGGTATTAATGTAGTAATTTATGATTTTTTAGTTATTCAAATATATATATATATATAAAACCAAAAAAGAAATTTGTTTCATATCCTCCACATACAAAATTTTGAAAGGCTTAGCAACCTACATCAAGCAGCAACAGAGCATAAAAGTTGTAACTAGAATAGATAATCATTTGCTTTACTTCTTTATTTACTGTTCTATGTTTAGGAAAAATAAGTTTAACAACTTATTTCAAAATAGCAATAATCTATATACATATATAATATATAATAATTGAAATGTGACCGTATTTTACAAAATACTAGTCTACTAAAACACAGCCAAGAGAAGTTACTTTGTACAAATGAAAGGTCAGTTTTATATTATTTGATACGGTAACATAAGTGCATGTGTGTCGCATCATTGTAACTTCTGTATTGTTAGCCAGGCATGGCTGAAAGGTCAATATAATAAAAATAATAAATATATATAAATGTATAATGTTGTGAGATTTAAGCTATTTAGTCTATACAATTATGTTTTTGTGTTATAATCTGTGTTCATTCTGGAATGAAGGAGGCATAATTTATATTTATTTCCTAATTTTTATGGTGTTTACAAGATCGATCAAATCTACCAAACCCGTACAGAGATTCATTATATTTTATGTTATTTTCAGTAAAGTTTGTTTTTTGAAATTTGAAAATTTTCTGATGCATAAACATATTTTTAATCTTAAAATGAAAACTACTCTGCATGTTAGATAGGCAGCTTGTGAAAAGAAAAAAAGGCATGATAAAAACATTGCTTTACAAAACCTAAGAGTTAATAAAAAAAATTGATATTTTGCATATGAAAGCATTGTAATGTTTACTGATAATGTGCCCAATTTTGTTAACATTCACTTACTAATTTAAAAGTTATAGCATGAAAACTAAAACAAGCACAAAATTGTTATGAAGTCGGTCCCAGGGACTGAGCCCGTGCTGAAAGAGTTAACTAATATCATGCCCAGAACTTTCCAACTAGTGACTAAGTACCCTAAAAGGAGCTACCACTTGTTTCAGTTTGTTTGGTTCTCAACATATAAACATATCTGACAGTCTGTACTTTCAACAAAACTTTTACTATTATCACCAGGTAACACTGTCACACAACTGAACTGATTGATATACTGGACAAACTGTATGATTATAATAATAGCAACTAATCAAATCTGAACACATTAAACTTGCAAATAACTGATGATAATGATTTTAGGAAATGCATTAAGGCATTATTTTTCCAGATTGTATCAAATATTTGTCCCTTTAACAGTGGTTAGCACTAGCACTCTCTCAATTGAGGCTTGTAAAATTATGACAATGTAGTATATATATATATATAGCTGGTCACTTAGCGTCACTGTTTGAAGAATCAGAACTTCTTTTCTTCTTGAGACTGGATGGAAATTCACAATAAATGCTTTGATTTTTTTTCAATGTAATGGCTGTCATATTTTCTTTGACCTAAAACTTCTCACCTGTGTTGATAAACAATGAGTATATTTTATCTAACTTGTTTTATTGGTATATTTGAAAGGTCAGAAGAACTGATTATTATAGATTGGACCTTGTAGTCTATTTACACAATAAAACAGATGATTTATTAGCTTTTCCAGATCACTTAACTCTTTTTGTTCTTCCACCTATACTTCTATAAATATAAAAGATTAAGAATCAAACCCAACATTAACATTGAATATCCTCCTAAAAAATGTCATATTCCTGGCTCCAATACTAAACCATACCAAAAGTTCATGAAACCCATGAATCATGAATAAAGCATTTAAAATATGACCATAACATAAAGAAGAGGAGCTTTCAGAGTACTTGGCTGCATGGGTTGGACTGGTTGAATTATAACAAAGTCCATATTACATGCACAATACAACTGCAGGCATTTTTGTAAATAGCTACTCTAACTTCTTCAAGAATCTAATGTTTTTGTTTAGAAATGCCTAAGCATGTAAGACCCTATACAGACTTCTCGGGAATGTGTAATATGGACAAGTCAAAGTTTTTATAAACTGGGAAAAACAAAAGAGTAGCAGAATTTGTGTCAATAACTGAACACTTTGAGGAAAAATAACACAAATAAGTCCTAACAAATTATATTTTTTTTGCATTAATCAGCAATGGAGCCACAGATTCTCCTCATAAGAAAGCTGAAATATTGTACATTAACTGAGGTATCTACTGAGACTGTTATGGTGGGAAAGAAGAATGGTGTTGTTGCAAAGGGTGATAATTTATGTAAGCACCAAGTGCTTTCACATCAATGTTTCCTGTCATCAACTACAGATTTGTTACAAAAGCACTTGAAAGTCTCTAAAATTATCTATATAATAAATGCCACACTATGTTCAGAATGCTCCCTCTGTCAGCAACGTTTGACTCTCTGTTGGTAACATTCAAATTTGCTCAGTGGTTTGTTTCAAATAGAAGTCTTGAGTTTAATTCCCAGTCAAGTGGGAATTTTATATATCTTTTTTTAATTATTAACTCATCATGTTTAGAGAAGGATATTAGGAAAAGAGAAAATTAGGGTACTTTACATCAGGGATTTAAATTATTTTTTTAGATTCAATTACAAAGACTGGATATCACAGTGGTTGTAGCACTTGACTATCATGTGGAAGTCTCAAATTCAAATCCCAGTCAAGTTAGAATTTTATGTAACGTTTTTTATTATTACATTTATTATCATGTTTACAACAAGCTCTTTGAATATTCAGATAAATATGATTACAATTATAGATTAAATAATGGATAATTTCATATTACATAATAAACACGAGTGACTGTATGCATCAAAAATAACTTAAATATCTTTTCCATGAAATAGGTAGCGCTACAATACATTATATTGATGTTTTCACCTTTGGTAAGAGATTTTTAAAAATTTAGTTAAAAAAATTTTAAGCATGTTTTATTAAAAGTTGTACCTTCAAGAATTTGCCCTTCACCATAAAATTCATTGCCATTACTATCACAATTAATAAATTACAGGGTCCTGAGGATGTAGATATATCTCTTCAAGAACCAGTTTTTATCACAGGTTCACTCAATCTATAAGGTTTTATTAGGAAGAACAGTTGAACATAACATAAAAATATACATAAGTCAAAATTATAATCTAGGACAACTTACAGGAGATGACCAAATATACACAAAAAATGTTGTTTTCATGGAATACTAGAAAAAGGATAAACATTCTCCATACATATATTGTAACTGCAATATAATTAACTTTCAGAAAACATGTTCATAAATCATTTTAGATTTAATTGTCGGAAGAAAAATTAATCAAAATTTAAAGCCACATGACAGGCATTTAGCTAGTTCTTTATATTTGATGTTTATTGTTAAAAGATATATTATTTCTATAGAAAAAAATCCTCTTAGTTGGTCCCATCTCAGAGAAGTCTGCATTTGGAACAATACTCATGTCTTTGCACCAACTAAAGTACATACATAGTATATGCTGGTTACTGAATGCTGAAAGATAATAATAACCTAAATGTTGAAATTAATCTAGTATAGTGCAACAAATGGAACAGCAACAAGAAACTAGAGCATCTTTAGCAGCCAATTAAGTAAAGTGTTTCCTGCAATTTTTCAAGTCAGAGTACTTTAAGTACTTTGTAGTTCAGTATGTGATATCACTTCTCTCAAAAGTATTAGAATCACAACAGAAAAGAACATTTACATTAACAAAAGTATATGAAGTAATTGAGGCTTGTAACAACATTCTGGAAAAGTATACTATTAAAAACCCACTACTTGTTATATACTGCTTGGCAAAAGTGTTCATTTTACTGAAAGTGATGATCACCTTGATTTTAATATATTTCAAAAAGATTTAAAGGCAATTCTATGTTAATGAAATCCATCACAATCATCACACTTTGTGACTGGTCTTAAGATTTTAGTTACAATAGTGACATTGGAGATAAAGAAGTCACTTATTTAAGTAATTAAAAAAAGAAAGCTGATGCACATAGAGTGGCATCCATTTGAAATTTTCTTTGAATAAATAAGACTAAAAGTATACATTCAAAGATTTTCCCCGTGTTTTAAAAGAACTTAAGATAAAATTAATCAACTGAGTGCTGCATCAGAATGAGTAAACATTCTAGCTTTAATAGATCTCGTCCTAACTATTTCAGCCATATATGTTGAAAGATTTAGTGCAAATAAAAAAATTAAGACTGATAGGAGAAGTCATTTAGGTGACCACCGCTTAACCCTTTCATGATGGGTAGCTCAAAGTGTGCATGTCACAACCATTTACAGTTACATTCACAATTTAATTACACTACTTTATTATCAATGTATACAAATAAACTTGGCAACAAACGTGGATAATAAATCAAATTTTAATATTATTGAAGTGTTATATGCTAAATTTTATAAGGAATTTGTTTTTAAATCTTCAATCTCCTAATATGGAAACTGTGACATTTGCTCTCTAGGTCTTCCCTCTTCTCTAATTTATTTACCACCCACTGAGAAGAAGAGAATTTAATGCAAATTGCTTATTATAATATATATATCACTCAGACAAAGCATACTTTTTATAACCTTCAATCTTATGTTTATGGAGCCATAAACTAGAAAATCTGACCCACTATAGTATTTATAACCAAAGTTTCAATCTATCAAATGATACATTACACTGCATTGTTTTCTGTACAGAGAATTGTCTATTTTGCTTCCAGTTTGAACTTTTTTCTCATGGAAAACATATCGCTGAGCTTAGTTGAAGTTTTAAAGGCCCCTATTGCAGTAGTTAAAAAGCTAGAAAAATTATGATAGTTAAAGGACATTGACTGCTTTTCACATGTTATGATTCTGTGTTCTTAGTGCATTATTCAATTTAAAAAAATCATTTAGTGTACTAGCACCATTAGTATATAAAAAGTAGGCTTAACTTTCAATGATAGTCGATAGCAAAAAACAAGAGGACACAGGTCAGTACTATATTCCTTGTTTTTCATGTTTATTCTTTATTTATTATTATAAATGTAACTAAAATATGAAAATTAAAAACTTATTAGGTTAGATTAGGTAAGATAACAAAAAATAATGATGATAATAAAAATTTCTCATGAGGTTACCTTGAGAGCAGCTCGAGTGTTATGTAATTCAACAAAGTAGCATGAGCTGCTTGTTCATCAATTGAATTACAACTTGTGTGGCAGAATTATTAGTCGGATGTGGTACAAAAGGCAAAAAAAAGAATTAAATTAACTATAAGTAGATGTATATTGTTACAAGCTTTAAGCTATTTAGTATAAACAGTTGTGGTTTCCTGTTACAATTTACAGTTATTCCAGAAAAAAAAGGGTAATTTAAAATTATTTCCTAATATTTAAAGTGGTTACAAGGCCAGTCAAACAGACTGACCCTGTATAGAGTTAGGGTACAGAAAATAACAGATAAAATGTAAAGTTTCTCAGAAGAAAAAAAAGTTTCATATTTATTTAGATTTTTATGGATTATACAAATGAAATTTGGAAAATTGAAGATGAAATAATTTTATTCTTAACATGAAAATCACTTTGCAATTGGAGCAACCAACACTCTGACTCCATATAATTATGGACAAAGTTTTAGTAAAAAAAAAAAAACCTTAAATACAAATTCAGATTTTTTTGTCTACAAAAGACTTAATTTTTAATGAAAACTCACCATATTTCATGAAGATATATTACATATTTTCAGAGATATAGTACGCATACCACCATGGTTACATGATGATTACGAGGTTGTGTAAAATACACGAGCCTATTGTGATATGGTTAACCAAATTAAACACAGTTCATTTTGAAATTCCTAGGGAACTGGAATTTGATCCACAAAATGCAGTACATTCCTAATGTAATGGAGACAAAAAATTAAACCACTCTACATGGGACAAGAAAGGCCAAAGTCAATATAAATGACTAAATACTGGAGGAACTAGTGAGAGGTAGCGTGAAGAGAAGCAATTAAATGGAGAGTTACATAGTTTAGTACAGCCAGCAGCCTGAGCAGGATGTGGAGGATCTGATTAACAGACAGTAAACTGGAACAGAATGAACTTCCTGATTATTATTCTAAATCACATGAGGATACTGTAAACGTGCATGAAAAAGAAAATAATTAAAGTTTAATCGAAACCTTTTATGAATATGAACTTATTTGATGATACTGCATCAACTTTTTGAAGAATATCAGTCTTTTAAAATATCATAATTGATGCACACTTAATGTAATAAAACATTTAGCAGATATATATATATTTTGAAAGTTAATAAATACAATATAGTTGAAATCAAATTATTTATATACACATACCAGGAAGCCCTGTAGTTTGCAACATATACTACGTAACATCATGTCACAATTTTTGCTAGTGAAATGCTTGGAGGGTTAGTGAAAACATTTTCTGCTATTCCCACTGGCAAGTGGTAGAAAACCATTAATGTTTTTCATAGTTTTAAAGTTTTGAAGTAGCGTACCAGTTTTAAATGTTAATGAAATAAAAATGTATCAGTTAAATAGGGTATCTTGAATGACTAGACGAAGACAGATAACTTTACCTTGAATGTGATCTTCATTCTTTCCATCTTTGGGGATTCCAACATAAACCATGACATTAACAGCATCACTAATGTCTAAGTGAAGGTTTGTTGTTCCTTTTTGTGAATAAGCAGCTGAACCTGAATGAACATATAACTGGATGATTATCAAGTTATACTAATACTTAATAGATGTAAAAAGTTTAAATTTTAAATATTTAGTAGATTAATTAATCACTTCACTTGCAAGAGACTGATAACAGACATAACCATTACTTATAAAACTGACAAAAGCTTAATATCAAGGCTCTGAAAACTGATCTGGTAATATTAGATTATTAATCAAAGTAATTATGCTATTTTGCTACAGTTTTTATTGTTTACTTTCATTCCTGTATTTTATCTATTCTGATAAGAACTATTCTATCTAAAATCATAAATAATATTCAACGTTACACTGGTACACAATTAAAAACATTTTATTTATGTCTATCTATGGCCTTCAAAAAGTTGACGACTCTACATGTTTCGACGTCACAACGTCATTCTCAGGAACATCGAAACATGTAGAGTTGTCAATTTTTTGAAGCCCATAGATAGGCCTAAATAAAATATTTTTAACTGTGTACCAGTTTAACATTGAATATT